AAAAAAAAAAAAAAAAAAAAGACTTAGTAAATAACATCTGGCCCGTCCGCACAGCGTCAGTGGTCAGCGAACGACAATAGTTCGCGGACTTTTTTTTTTTTTCTTGTTTAAATATATGTATATAGTTTAACGAATAACCGTTGGTTCCGTTTTGTAAGAATTTGCTGACTTCAGAAAATACACGCGCGCGGAATACGAAATGAAAGGGCATGAGTATACCTTAACTGGCCAGTCATTTTTTGGCGGGAAACAGATATAAGTGTTCCATCGCGAATCGCCGAAAAAATGTCCATTAAGGTGATTACGATTAGTTTCGTTTAATGGTAGTTGTCGCGTGTCGAAATCTTTCGGCAAAATTTGTCCTTACCGCGACTCAGGTACATATAATACATGTTTAACCCTCCCTGTAGCAGTTGCTGGATCACTTCTAATCCAAAAGTCGTATATTCATATTTTGCAATCGTGAAACAAGATAGATGAATAGACGCTTATTGTACTGCTTTGCAATATAACTTACAACATTTAATGTTGTAAGTTGCTTTCTCAATTATAATTTGTTATAGATCTATTGTGATTGTGTATATCCACCTTCTAATATACCTTCAGCTTTTCTCTCGAGATTCGAGAATGAAAAATAGGAAGATCTGGCTGTTTGATTTGTGCAAAAAATAATAACAAATTAAAACAAAACCGTATGGATCAGAATTGATCTAGCTATCGCCGTTCACGAATACGAGGGTTAAGGCCCGTTTCATTTTGTATAACAGTTTTAAATCGTTTAAAGAAATAGTTTTCCTCGTTATTTGTGCCTAGCTCTCAAATCGATTCATCTTTCGTTCTTCCCTCTCTCGTATAAATCGCTATATATTGCTTCTCTCGTCGTCTCATCCTTCTTTCCTTCTTCTCTTTTCCCCTGCGCATTAAATTCGGGCGCAACTTCGCGATTCTTGCGCGTGTCCAATATTTTTTTTTTAACGCATGGATGTATATGTACAGAACCATATATAAAAAAAAAAAAAAGAAAACAATGGTACATGTGACTACA